TTTATTTAATCGTGATTAATTCACAGCTACCTTGGAATTAATAGATTAAAAATTTTAATCATCTGACAGCCCTAAAATAAATATGATAGGAGGGTTTCAGTATTTGTAGTCAATAAACAACTCTAGACTTCAGTAGTTAAATATTGATGAGTAATGATGTAATTACAAATAAGTGTTTGATATCTGTTAAAAACATGAGACGTATTTGTACATAAAACAGGTAAAAGTAAAAATATAATTACTAACAAATAGAATGTAGATATTTCTGCTCGACTTGGCTGACTTGTGTAACACAAAAAAAAATCAGAATAACCAAAATAAGCATTTTATTTAAACCGTTGACCTAAAGGCTGTGAAATAACGTTATCACAGAGTAAACAGGAGATTATTTAAAAAAAAGCAACGTTTAGATCATCCCTTTGATGTGATCTGTGATTAGGTTTGTGACTTTGTGACAAACATAATTTATCAGAAAGGTTTGATTTGGCATTTTTACAGCGTGACATCAGCTGCTCTTAAAAAATCACTTTGTTAAAAAAATATGAAACATCAAGCCCATTTTTGCAAAAACAAATGGTGTTCTTTGTATTATTATGCTTTTAACAAAAGTGCCTAAAGACTCAATAGAAAATGGGTCATTTGCTGCTTTTCTTTTGCAGATAAACCCCTGGGTTGATCTGTTGAACTGGGTGCCTTTTCGGACGTCTTTATGCATGTATGTAATTTACACAACTGCTTTTATTCCAYGCTGAAAATCTTGCAGTTCTTAAGTCAGTAACAAGTAGATGAAAACACTGCAGGAAGTTTTGTTTTGAATCGAGGCTGGATCTGCCAGAGGAATTATGTAACATCTTTCTTGCCAGTTTGTGCTGTTCAGGATGCAACAAGACRAGCTGATGAGGCGATACAAAGTCTTTCTTACAAATCAGCCTGTTTTGATTAAAGGCTCTGTCAGAAAACAGTACCACTCAATTCCCTGTTGACACTCCCTCTGGTAGTTCAGAAGTCACCAAAAGAGATGCTTTCTTATCGCGCTCACATGCTTTTTCTGAGAATATTTATCAGTGTGGAAATAAACTTGGCCGCTCTGATGTGTTGATGAGAGCAGCACATTAAAATATGTCTTTTTAAGGTTTTAATTTTCAGAATAACCTGACTTTTATTATGGTTTTATTGCTGTTGCAGCACCCTTTAGCCAGTATTTCTGCTGATGTTTATATTTATTTCTTCCTCTGCATGTGGGCTTGTAAGAGCGAGGAGTTGACGTGCCTAAAAATAAAACCAAACAAACTCAAAACACTGAAAGTTTAAATCTGGAAGATTTAATGGTGTTTTGATTACTGGGTGGTCGCTGAAGATGTCAATCAGATGTTGGCCCACCTTTTCAGGAGTCTGCCTCAGTTTCTGGGTGGCTTCTGAAAGAGCTGTATAGGGTTTATCCACTAATAAATACTCATTGTAATAAAAATTTATGGAATTAGGAAACTTTTTTTCATAACTGTGGTTAACTTGTTAGTTGTTAATCTCCTTTAGGAAAATTACTTGAATAAAAGTCTTAAAGTATCTGTTATTTTTTGTACTTAATTATTAAAAGTAAAAGTGTTGATTTAAAATGAGCAGTTATATTTTCTGTAATGTCATTTATTAGGAGGTGACCTCCTCAACAAATGCAGACATTACTTTATTGTATTAAAATAATGAATTCATGTTAAATTTAGGATGCACTAGTGTAACTGTTTCAGTTTATATACATATATAAAGGCTGCACAAAGCTTTTCCCCAAAATAAAAACCTATCTGAGGGCTGCGGCCAAATGCAATAATATAATTCATGAAATACCAATACTACTTAAGTACAGTAACAAAGTATTTGTACTTAGTTACTTTACAACTCTGGCTGGGAGTCCGGTGGGAAAGGACGAGGAAACACAGCCCGATCGATAATCGATAATTAC